CATAAGTATGAATATTAAGAGTTCAAATCCCCAGCATCCATATAAAAATATGTCCGTGGCCACATGTACCTGTATCTGTGGTACTATTTCGAAGTGGAGACAAGGAAAATCACTGGGGTTTGAAGGCCACCAACCTAGATTCAGGTTAAGTGAGAGATCCTGGCTTAATGTAGTATGACAGAGAATAATGAAGCAGGATATTCAGCATCCTCTTGTGGCCTCCACATGAAAGGGAATGCAGACACCTAACCACACATGTATGCATGCATGCATCATACACGAAAAAGGAGAAAAATGAAATAAATGCATAAATGAAGGAAACACCATGCCTGTAATGTGTAATTAACAGTAGAGAACAGAGACTAACAGTGCAGAAGTTGTAGTGAGAGAAAATGATCTCATAACCCTTCCACAGTTTAATCCCTTCTCAAGAAAGTGTCTATAAAGGTGGAGAGGCTTCTAGTCTCTACCCTTAACCAAGCAGTCATTGAAAGTTGGTGGCTTCTACTGTAGAAATCAGTCAGTATGGTGGATCTTTAGGAAGCTGAGAGTAGATCTACCTCAAGATTCAACTATGTATACTCCTAGCATATACGCAAAAATCTCTATGTCCTGATATAGAGTTTCATGCACATCTAGGTCGTTGCTGCTCTACTCATAAAAGCCAGAAATTAGGAAGTCTAGATGTTAATCAACAGATGAATGAGTACTAAAATAGTGGAACTGACACAATAGAATACTATTTAGACATTTAAAAATTATGCAATTCGAAGGTAAATGAAGCTAGAAAAAAAATCATCAGATTACTTTTCTTTTGGGCAGGGTGATAAATATGGATCTATTTTCATTTTTCTGCATGTAGACATCCAGTTGGACCTGCACCATTTGTTGAAGATGCTGTCTTTTTTCCATTGAATGGTTTTGGCCTTTTTGTCAAAAATTAAGTATTTGTAGGTGTGTAGGTGTATTTCTGGGTCTTCTATTTGGTTCTTTTGATGCACTATTCTGTTTCTATGCTTCTTGGTCATGGTGGATGATATCTTTGATGTGTTCTTGTATTTGGTTTGCAAGGATTTTATTGAGTATTTTTGCATCAATGTTCATAAGAGAGATAGGTCTGAAGTTCTCTTTTTTTGTTGGCTCTTTGTGTGGTTTAGGTATCAAGATGACTGTGGCTTCATAGAATGAGTTTGGTTATGTTCCTTCTCTTTCTATTTTGTGGAATATTTTGGAGAGTATTGGAGTTAGCACTTTTTGAAGGTCTGGTAGAATTCTGCACTGAATCCATTTGGCCCAGGGCTTTTTATGAAAGGGAAACTGTTAATGACTGCTTCTATTTTCTTGGGGGATATAGGACTATTCAATCTTTTTACCTGATCTTGACTCAATTTTGGTAGACCGAATCTATCAAGAAAATTGTCCATTTCTTTTAGATTTTCAAATATTGTGGCACATAGGCTTTTTTAGTACGACCTAATGATTGTTTGGATTTCCTCGGTGTCTCTAGTTATGTCCTCCTTTTCATTTCTGATTTTGCTGATTTGGATAGTTTCTCTCTGCCTTTTAATTAGTTTGGCTAAAGGTTTGTTTATCTTGTTGATTTTCTCAAAGAACCAGCTCTTGGTTTTATTAATTCTTTGAATAGTTTTATTTGTTTCTAGTTGATTGATTTCGGCTCTGAGGTTGATTATTTCCAGCTGTCTCCTCCTCTTGGGTGTATTTGCTTCTTTTATCTTTAGGGCTTTCAGTTGGGCCATTAAGTTGTTTGTACGAGATGTCACAATTTTTTTCTTGAAGGCACTTAGTGCTATGAATATTCCTCTGAGCACTGCTTTCATTGTGTCCCATAAATTATGGTATGTTTTACCTTCATTTTCATTGAATCCAAGGAAGTCTTTAATTTCTTTCTTTATTTCTTCCTTAACCCAGCTATCATTGAGCAGCATGTTGTTCAGTTTCCACATACTTGTAGGATTTTTTTTCTAATTGCATTGTTTTAGAGGTACAGCTTTATTCCATGGTGGTCAGATAGAATACAGGGGAGCTCCTGTACTACAGGGCAACAGTAATAAAAACTGCATGGTATTGGCATAGAAACAGAAAGGAGGATCAATGGAATCGCATAGAAGACCCAGAAATAAACCCACACACCTATGAATACTCAATATTTGACAAAGAAGCCAAATCCATTCAATGGAAAAAAGACAGCATCTTCAACAAATGGTGCTGGACCAACTGGATGTCTACATGCAGAAAAATGAAAATAGATCTCTTTCATCTTATATTCAACGATTCCTTTAAAAAGAATTCCACAGTTTGTCTGTGATGACTCTCACATAGAGAAAAGGAATTGGCTGATATTTTTTAATCTTTTTTTTTATCAGTGGTTTAAATTGATACCATTTTGTAACAAGGAAATCTAAGGTTATGTAGCTCATTTTGGTGTTACATCTGTCATTAGGAGTAAGGAAAGATTACAGTGTCGCTGGAGTGGTCAGTGTTATAAGGTCAATTCAATGAGGCCTCAGTTCAGATCTTGTTGCCATTCTGTCCTGATGTGCTTGGATCATTTATCAAGAAAGGGTGTGCTAAAGGGGCAAAATGGGATGACATTTCACTTATTCGTTGTATTCTATTAACAGTATCATGTCTTAAATTCAGTTTAAATTGAGTAAGTAAAGTAGTAAGCTTCTGTTTTTGGAAAAGAAAAAATGAAGAAATCATTTGTGGAGAAGGTGCTTTTATTGAATAGTTCAAAGAATATCCAGAAATTATGTATAGGGTCTTACAAAGGAAAAAAAAAAACCCTTAGGCAGCTAAGCACGTAAAAAACTTAAAGTGAAAATTAGGCATATTAGTTTTTAAAATATAATAAGATAAAACAAAATTATCATATTGAGTTGGACAAGCCAAGCCAATAGAAAAAAAAAAGAGTCCAAGAGAAGGCATAAGAATCAGAGAACCACTTGTCCACACACTCAGGAATTGCATAAAAACAATAAAGAGGAAGCCATATGTAGAGGACCTGGTACAGATTCATGCTGGTCCTATGCATGCTGCTTCAATCAAACAGGGTTTATTTATTTATTTTTTATTGTATTATTATTTTTTTTTTTAGTGATGTTTGTACTGTTAGAAAAGTAACAATGGAAACATCTTTAGGGAACTACATGTAAACTTTGTAATTAGCTTTAAAACTGATCAAAAATTATCTACATATTTAGAGATGTGATAAGCAATGCAAAGGTTACTGACCTAACATTTTTAAGGTGTTAGGTCCTATTTCCAGTACTGCAAAAAATTCACAATAGTTAAAAATTAAAATATTTCCAAAATTTTAAACTTAAATCCTAAAACTTTAGGAGCTGGTGTTAGCTCAGCAGTTAAGAACACTTGCTGTTCTTGAAAAGTAAGTGTTCAGTTCCCACCACCAATATGGCTAGCAACTGTCTGCAAATCTAGTTTCAGGACACAATCTTAGAGGATTTGATATGCATGGGGTGCATATACATATCCTTGGCACTCAGACATACACATAAAATTAATAAATATATTTTAAAAGCTTTAAAACTTTATAGCAAACTAGATGCAGCTGAGGAAATAGATAAGTATTCACCCAGATAATCGAGCAGAAGAAATTATTAGGCATGAATGTTCACAAATAAAGGATTATAAGGGCAAAAGTCCAGGAAAGACCTGATCAGCCCAATGGAGAATGTGGACTTCTAACACGTAGGTCATAATATAAGTGTAAGCAAAACAGAAAAGGAATGGAGAACAGGTGTTATTTGTTGAATTCACTACGGAGAAGATTCTAGAGCTGATTAAAAACTCTAAGCCACATTTTCAGGAACCCACTAAATCTTAAGCACTATAAATAAGCCCCGGAGCCAACTCAAGACTGGAAAATGTTAATGACCTTCATAGGAATGGCATTCCTCTCAATAGTAGCAACACAGAAACTGAGACAAAAGTAGAATAACATTTCTTAATGCTAAAACAAAATGAGAACAAACATCCTCTCTAACCTTCCATATGAAACTTTATATCCACTAAATACTGCTATCAATAGTATGGCATAAAAGGGAGATATTTTGAGACAGAATCTGGGAAATCCATTACCAGCAGACATTTTCTAAAATAAAGTTGTAAAAGATACAGTCAGACAGAACTGACTTCAGTTGTATGACTGAGGTTAAGGAAGCAAGAAAGAGAAACAGAACCAATATCGATGTCAGTCTATCTAATGATATAGAAAATTACAATCATGTAGGGTTAAAAACACAAGGTATGATTAAAATGCATGACTACAATATCATCAGCCACTCAGTATTTCGAGTGTTCTAAGATGGCTATACTCTCTGAATAGAATCATATGTATGAAATTAGGACTTTAAAAAGAAAAATAGCGAAGCAATGGAGTACCATTAAAGAATCCAGAGTCCAGGATGGCTGGAAACTGGTAGCTTTGCCATCAGTTAATGGTAAAGCCACTGAAAACCTACTTCTCTGCTATCATGATCTAACTGTAAATAAATATGAGATATTGGAACTAAGTGAAAATTTAAAGTCCTTCACAGGGAATAAAAGCAAAGGAATTCCTGCAGAAGGGAAAAAGGTTCAGTAGTTCTTGAGGTGTTCACCTTCTTCCACTCAATTTTAATCAGTAAACACTTCGCACTTAACTCCCAGCTACCTTTTACATATCTGTTCAAAAATTATTGGTAAATAAAGTCTCATTTAGCTGTGTATTTTCACTTTACCTTTAAAGCTGTTTCTGGGTTTTATTTCACTAGAGTTCACTAGAGGGGTAGTTAGTTGGCTCTGATAGATGATAAGGGGACATTGGAGGGAAGTGGGGTGTGGGCCTTGCTGGAAAACTGTGATTCTTGCTATTCTTATTTTTTTAAATTACCTGAAAATATTACTATCTTCTTATCCTCTCACCATCTCATTTTGCATTCTGTTGCCCGACTTCCTTCTTCCCTTTGTTTCTCCAGGCCAATAATAAACCTGAGATTGAAGCAGCCCTCTTCCTTGACTGGATGCGCCTGGAACCTCAGTCTATGGTATGGCTGCCCGTCTTGCACAGAGTGGCTGCTGCAGAAACTGCCAAGCACCAGGCCAAGTGTAACATCTGCAAGGAGTGTCCAATCATTGGATTCAGGTATTAGAATTAACAGAATAACCTTGTCGTCCTTCACTTTGTCATGACTCCTTTTTTTGCCTCCCATTAGTTTGTTCCTTTCTAAAGTGCAAGAGAAAGTGATGAAGCTAAAGCGTTGACCACTGCTGTCATTCCGCATATCACAGGGTTCTTTCAGTGGGCCTGACTTATTAGGCAGATGTCTCTTTCCACCTTCGCTCTATAGGTTTTTACAACCACATTTTTGGTTGGGCAGGACTGAGTGAGTACCTGTCTCCAAAGAGATTTTTTCTTTCTCAAGGGCATCTGGATGAACAGTACCTCTTCCTTCCTGGAATTAAAACCATTTTACCCTTGTTTTCTTTTTCATGGCCTTTCCTGTTTATAGAAATTCTCCAAGAATCAGTTATAAAATGAATAGTTGATTCTATTCTGGGAAGATTCATCCTGGTAGCTCGGTCTCTTTCTTACTTAGCAGCACTTCTTTTTCTCCTTAAGTAACAACTGTTCCAGGCATCCTAGAACTTTTTTCAGTCTCTTTGAATCTGATTCTCTTCTTTCCATAGCATCCTGTTGAAATTCTAAGGAAATAAATGATATGCAAACAAATGAGATTCACAAAGCAGCTAAAAACAGAAAGCATTTCATATAAATGTAAAGATGAGAGAGAGAGAAAATAGCATACTATCATATTTGTAGTCTTAAAATGACATGGAAAACATTTGATTCCTTCGGAGAAGTAGGAGATTTTTAAATGAACTAACCTAATAATAATTCGAAGTCCTAACTTTGAAATGACTATACATTTTAATATCTGGATAGCTATGAGCTTTTCCAAAGCATATATAAGCAACAGGATTATATACTAGCTATGAGCTTATGCCCCTTCAGAACTCATTTACCAGCTAAAGTAAATTTGTAGTTGTACTTAAATTTTATTTCCTATTTCTTTATTTCAGTGTTGTTGGTTTTTTTAACCATCGGATTTTTTTTCCTTGTGTACCTTCTTTCCTTCTCGCTTTTGGGCAGAATGCTATAGGGACTGCAACACTGGGGGGTGGGGAACTTCAGGTGACTGCATTTAGTTCTTATCTTCCTGAGCCAGCTTCCTGAGCCAGTGGGATTTGTATACAACAGAAGAACAGAAGGAAATTTTATAAAAGAAAAAAAATGCCATGCTTTGGAGGACCTAAGAAAGTCCACCCTTTTAACCTTCAATTCTTTTGCCTTTATCAAATTAGATTATTTCAAGAATCAGCACTTCTCTTTCTTTGTTATCCCCTCTCAAATAATGGTTGACATCTAAAAAAAAGGGGGCGGTAGCTAGCTTTTTACATATGTGACATCAGGAATATGTTTATCTGAATAGATGAATTGACTGAGGCTCTTATCTGAGAAGGCTAAAATCAGGAGTGAAAAAAGTATATAGTATTTTGAGACTGCAGGAAAATGTATCAACCAATATTTATAAATTAGAAATTCTTCCATTTCATTCCATGGTGATGGTGGTGTCATTTTTGGGTAATATGGTGAGGAATTTCTGAAGAAAGAGAAGAGACTGGCCAATTGACATGAAGGTGAATCATGCCAATCAATTATAAAGTATATATTTAAAGGTAGAACATATTTTATTAATTACAGTTTATTCATTTTGTATTCCAGCTGAAACCCCCTCCCCTCCCAATCCCACCCTCTTTCCCTCATTTCCTCCTATGTCCCTCTTCAAGTCCATGGATAGGGGAGGTCCTCCTACCCTTCCATCTGATCCTAGCTTATCTGGTCTCCTCAGAACTGGCTGCATTGTTCTCCTTTGTGGCCTGGCAAGGCTGTTCCCTCATCAGGAGGAGGTGGTCAAAGAGATAGCCACTGAGTTCATGTCAGAGACAGTCCCTGTTCCCCTTACTAGGAAAATCCACTTGTACACTGAGCTGCCATGGGCTACACCTGTGCAGGAGTTCTAAGTTATATCCATAACGGTCCTTGGTTGGAGAAACAGTCTTAGAAAAGACCCCTGTGCCCATATATTTTGTTTCTGTTGCTTTCCTTGTTGAGCTCTTATCCTCCTCAAGTAGAATATTTTTTAATTGAAATTCTCATTTAAATTTCTTATGAGTAGCTTTATTTTTGTAGTTTTTTGGGAATATTTTGTTTCAGAAAACTCTTGTTCCTGTGATCAATAGGCAGCATGCAGTATGTCAGTCTATCACTTCGCACATTCTTTTAAATTTGAGAATTTGGTCTTTAAAAGACCAGGGATTTGCTCATACTATTCTATTTAATTTTAAAGAGTTCCAGTATAGTTTAAATAAGAGTTGATTTTTTTTAATTCTTTCTTTCATATGTTTATGGGATAATCATTCTACCAAAATGCCTCTCAGGGAGAGGCACTGGAAAAGTTAATCACTTAATGTGTGGCAACAAATGAATACTGCTTTCTGTTTCTACAATCAACAGTGTGGTAGAGAGTTTCTTAGAGTGTTGTTTGTAGAAGTACATAAGTGTTTGTTTCTGTTCTTTATCAGGTACAGAAGTCTAAAGCACTTTAATTATGACATTTGCCAAAGCTGCTTTTTTTCTGGCCGGGTTGCAAAAGGACATAAAATGCACTACCCCATGGTAGAGTATTGTACTCCGGTAAGTTATTGTCCTCTGGATATGAGTTCTTTTACATGAGTTGAATTGTAGATTTGGATATTTCAATGTGTACTGTCTTTTTTTTTAAGGATCTACCACCTTATCACCTTATGCCTATACCCAGGCAGGTCCTGATACACATCAGAGAAAACTGGTACTCAGTATCTCTGAATGAATGTATACATTTTTCACTTTTAGCATGGTTGTAAGAAGGACATCTCATCACATAACCTTAGCAATTATATAGAGAAGACCCGTGGCATGGGGCATGATGAGTTTGTAGGAGAGTAGTATGTGTATTTCTCGAAATGCATAACATAAAACCTTCTTTCACTTTTGTTCACTTTTTAGCTTACTGGCATTTTAACTGACACATGAAAAATATGTTTTATATGGCCATAATTATATTGTGCCCGAATCGTGATACCCCAAAAGACCAGCACCAGGAGTTGAGTCCATTGCAAAACACATGAGGATCTTTTTATTACAAATTATTACAAGCTGCAGCTTGGGCTCACACCCCCCACCACAGAAGTCGTGAGAGCCGAGAGCCCTGTGTTCCAGTTGGTTGGGTGATTTAAAGATTCTGGTCCCTCCCAGCATGCCCAAAGCAGGAGGGACTACTGCCTGGCAAGCTTCTATTGGTCGAAATGCAATTGGAATGTTGCCTTTTGAATTGATTGGCTATAGGAAAGTCCCCAAACCATTAATGATCTGGTGTCCTTCCCTAGGGGCATGGGCCAGTTTCCTAGCAACTTTATCTCTATTGGGCAGGAATAGAATGCAGTAAGACTAGTTCTTCCCCTCAGGGCATTAAGACTGGACATATCTCCACCCAGCTAGCCATAGATGAGGCCTGTGCTTTAAACTTTAAAATAATAGCAACTGATTTTTAATCTTTTGGTCTCTCAATTTACATGATAAGTAAGCACTTACCTTTTAAAGTGCTTTATAGTGTAATAGGTATTGTTATTTGTATCCCTCTCTGACAGGTGAGGACTGTAGTCCTGAGGTTAAATATTTGCCCATGTGTTCATAAGTAAAAAGTGGAGAAACTTCTAACATGTCTGAATAAAACAATCAGTAGCTATTATGCTTTGGAAAAAGCCCTCTTGAGATGGTTTGGTGATTATACTGAGACACAGAAACTCTATGTAAGTGCTCCTGGGAGCTTATACTTCATGTATACACTCAGGCCCTAGCCTCAGTTTTATAAACCAAAATCTATATTTTAGAAAGATTTACAGGACTTTGCTCTGCTTACGAGCATCATTTTAATCCATCACCAGGTTATCCTTTTAAGTTTTTAAATATTTTCCTCACTATCCCTCCTCTTACATAGGTTGGAGAGTGCATAATGCTATGAATTGCCTGATATGTAGTTTGTGAACTCTGATATTAATGCCAGCTAAGTAGCCTTAAGTCTTCTATAAACCATCATTCATCAAGTAGCCAGGTGGCCTGAATGCTTCCTTTATTGCCCTTATTAATTTTTCTTATTTTTGTGTGTTTATATGTGCTTTGTACTGTATGTGTGAAGGCCAGAAGTTAAAGACTGGTGACTTTATCTTTACGGTAATTTTTTTTTAACCAAATGAAAAGTTGTATTTATTTACTTTTTTCTTGAGATAGTTTTTTTTTCTTTATTAATTACAGTTTATTCACTTTGTATACCCCCTGTGGTTCCCTCCTTCCTCCCATCCCAATCCCTCCTTTCCTCCACCCTCTGCATGCGTGCCTGTCCCCAAGTCCACTGATAGGGGAGGACTTTTTTTCCTTCCTTCTGATCCTAGTCAATTAGGTATCATCAAGAGTGGCTGTGTTGTCTTCTTCTGTGGCCTGGTAATGCTGCTTCCCCCTCAGGGAGAGGTAATTAAAGAGCAGGCCAACTTTACGCTATTTTTATGAGACGCAGTCTCTTCCAGGATCCAGAAATCACAGTTTGACTACATAGTCTGGTACATGATATAAAGGGATCTACCTGTTTCTGTCTTTCCTAGTGCTAGGGTTACAAATAGGTACCACTATGCCTGGCTTTTTTTGTGGCTGCTGGGACTCCAAACTCATGCTCATGTGGCAAGCATTTTGCCAACTGAGCTGTCTCCTCAGCCTGTAATGTCCCTTTTTTACTGCTGATACATGCTTTATAGATACCAGCAACTCACCTAAGTTAGTACAGTTCGATTTCACCGCCTTGGCACATATTTCCCATATTCTCCTTGGTTATGACCCACGTGTCATGAAGATGAAGATCTGGTGGCCATTTGTTTTGAAACAGCACTCTCCTAAAGGTGATGTCATTATGGTTTTTATTTTAGACTACATCTGGAGAAGATGTTCGTGACTTTGCCAAGGTACTAAAAAACAAATTTCGAACCAAAAGGTATTTTGCGAAGCATCCTCGAATGGGCTACCTGCCGGTGCAAACTGTGTTAGAAGGGGACAACATGGAAACGTGAGTAATGGCGGAAGCAAAGCAGACTTTCCTTTGCTATATAGTTGAACTCTTCCCAGCCAAATGCCCTCCTTCACTCCCAAACGCAAACAGTCTCTTAAGTGTCTCTCCTTCTTTGGTTTTACTTTGGAAAAAATACAAATAAGCTGATGTTCAATTATATTTTCCCTTGATAATTATCTTCTCCAAAAGTCAAACTTGATATTACGGGAAGGAAAAAGAATACTATGATGACACATTGCCTTTTAAGACTTTTAAGAACTATGGAACTGTTTACAGCTGAGTGATGACAAAATTTCAGTTTGAATTCCTTCCATCATAAATCAGTGGACATGTGTCTTTTTCTATCTAATTGTGTGGTCATATCTCATCACTTTTTTCCACTTGAGAGACATATCCAGTCACAGGAAATGCCTTCACAGTAAGTAGAAATGAGCCTACTGGTTAACCAGATGATGTCTTTACCTACTTTAAACTTACTTCTTATATTTTGCTGTATGTTAATGACAGTCACATAGTTACTTGTTTCGCTTTTCATTCACTTTTCACTTTTGTTTGGCTGTTGCTTTTCATGATTCATATCTAATTTAGTTGGATTTTATTTATTTGTTTTCACCTTTCAATTATTTTTGTTGCTGCTCAGTTCGCTTCTGTCTCTTCAACACTTCATGTTTTGTTTTGCAGTCCCGTTACTCTGATCAACTTCTGGCCAGTAGAATCTGCGTGAGTACTTTTGCTAAGGGTACTGCTACCACTAACATTTGCTAGCTTGATTTATTTATCCATTTGTGTGTTTACTTTTCTTGGTTTTGCTTAAAGACATTTAAATTTCCTGTCTTTTTCCCCCTTCTCTGATTAAAGCTTTGAGAGTACATCTATCACTGATACAAACACTCTGGGTAGGACTTCAGGTAGCTTTGCTGTAGTTCTCTCCACAAGAAATCCTGACTTGAGTTCTAATAAAAATGAAAAGAATTTTGCAAGTTTTAGCTGTCTTCCTGGAATACATGATTATATTTTAGATATTCTTTCTAATAGAGGCAATAAAGAAACTTTTGCTTCAATAATACCACTTCAAAGCCATATTTCTTTAGATGTAATATACAAAGACCTTCAGAAGGGTGAATGGTGTGTTCCTTAGAAGCACTTATAGATGGACTGCTAAAAATCAAGAGGGTCTACTTCAGAGTATGACACTGAGTTTGGTAGACTAATTTCAGTGTAGTGTGTGGATGTTTTTTTAGAAATAGGTTAAGCTATGCTGCTTGACAAATTTTCACTAATGTGTACCTCTGACTTTGGGCCTGACCTCGTTTTTATATCCTCTCTAAAATCTTCAGTTCATAAACAGTTATGCCTTTAAGCAAAGAGGGAGTTTACTATGGTCTGATGTTACTTCTGGTGTTTATTAATACTAGTAATATTAAATAATAATACAAAAATTATTTGTTTCAATTTATACTGTTAGAAAACTATTTTGGAGCTAGGTATTGTAGTAAGCACAACTAGACCTAGCTATTTAAGAGGCTGAAGCAAGAGTATTTATTGCTTTAGTGAGCCCAGGAGTTTGAGACCATCTTGAGTAATATAGTGAGACCGATTTCAACAATAAAATCAATATGATCTTTCAGAGATCTTTGATGTATACATTAGCAAAAGTATATGCCTGTATAAAAGTTATATAGTATTTTTGTAAATGTTTTAGTGTTTTATAGTATACTTTATCAAATTGCTTAAAGTTTGATGCTCTGTCGTATATCAAGAGGTAATTACCTAACTTGAAAGAATGGCTTATATAAACATTTAATTTATTAAATTATCTCACCATATAACTTAAATGAAAAAAAATGTAGAGGTATTAATTGAGATTAATTAATTTTTATTAGTTAAAGAAATATATACAGTTTTAATTGAGATGCATTTTGGAATTTTATTAACCAAAGGAAGTAGAAGACTTTTTTTTTCCTTTTTATCCCCACATTATTGTTCCATTTAATTTTGAGATACTATATTCACAAAGAGCGCATTGCCTCTTCTCTTTATTTCGAGTGCTTAAACAACTTGAGAATTTACTGTATACAGTTATTTCTTTCAATGATGGTAACTATCTTCCCCAACCTGGGTAATCTGTTTCTAGAAGTTGGAAGCGTTCAGAAATAAGAAGTTTTGAAATTTGATCTACTGAAGTCCTGAGATGGCAATGTAGATAGATTACTCTCTGTTAGAGGAAGTTTAAGCAGGGAAGAAGTCTGAAGGATGAGGATTCAGAAGAAAAAAAATTTTTGGCCAAAAGTTACAGGGACCAGTTCCTTGAAAGGAAAGAAAAGTGAAGGCACAATATAAGTTAGTGAGAAATTATCATCATAGTCAGGTAAATTGACTTATTTTAGGTAGAGGGTGTTTGTCTTTCTTAAACTATAAACTGCTTAAGAAAACAATAACATTCTCCATTAAAATATCTTTTCTAACAACTAAAACATACTCTTATGTTGCATTTTTATGAAAAGTTGGCTAGATTACTCTGAAAGAGTGGGAAGTTCTAATTTAGAGAGAGAAAGCAAACCCAGCAGGCTAGTCTGTACTTTGTTACTGTAATTTTATTAGTTTTTACTCGTAATTTTCTAGTGTAATAGATAAATCTATTATAAAGCTGTTCTATTCAAGTAGAAGAATTAGGTGCTATCATGTTTTATTTTATAAAACATTATTTGATAGTAGCAAATCCTATGATAATGGTATTATTTAATCTGTTTAATGTGGGAAACAGACTTGGAAAGCTTCCAAAGATACAGATTTTTTTTCTTAGAGAAAATCCTTGTTTCCGTGTATCTGTCATATTACTTTAAATTGAATCTAGAATGGGCCTTTCATTTTGTTTACCCATAAGCAAGACAGGCTAGAAATGTTCTTGGAGCTCCTCTGCTTTCTAATGTAAGTGAATGAGAACTTACCCATGGAATTTCCACAAGAGACAAAATGGTGGTGTGCAAGATGGCATTGGCCAAATGGATTCTTAGGGATCATTGGCAACAATCTTATTTGGTATATTGTTCTGTATTTACAAAGCAGGAAGTAGGAGCCATATTATCTTTGTTTGGAAGTGTTTTTGGAGGCTTTATACTTAAGTCTTATTTTCGTTGTAATATTTACTACTTCATGCTTTTGAAAATTTTCTCTGACCAGCATTCTTTTGACTTGTTTTCTGGTTTAGTAAGTGCTTCTTGTACTTTTTCAGAATTCTAATTATTACAAGTTCTTATACTTGTGCACGCTGCACTGGGTGCTATATACATTAATAGAAAAATAATATGAAATTATCCTTGAGCTTAAGAATTATAGCTTTTGAATCAGACTTTTGTGTAAGACTGTACTAAAGTACTTTCAATTTATATGCCTACTCCTTCTGGTATACTTTCCCTCTAAGGTCTTGTGCTTGCTTTTTTTTTTTATGTATACTGCCACTGTCACAACTATTCTAATGGAAAATACTACTAATATATTTTCCTTGATGGTCAGCTTTAACTTATAGAACTATATAATTGAAAGACTGCTCTATTTCAGAAGATACTTAGAAACCAAACAATACAAGTATTAAATTGTCTTTACTTGAAGTGAAGATTTCAAAACAAACCTTCGCAACTTTCTAGTAATAGACGATTATAAATGTTTTTTAAATGAGCAGATCAACTCTCCAAACATGTACTGAAGATTCACATGGGACTCTTTGGGCTTGTGTATTAAATTGAATAGTCTCTTTTTTTTTCACATGAAGATGTTAACATATTTTACACTTGACCTAGGCAATACTGGTTTCATATTTTACACTTGACTTATACAATATGATAATACCTTTATCTCTCAAGGAAGGCTTCCAGTTACCTTGTTGTTTGTTTTAGTCTTTTGTGATTTTCTTACCACAATGTTTCTTTGTTAAAAAAATAGAAATTTCAAGTACATTTTTCGTGCAAGCCTAGCAATAGGTATCCATTCATTATATATATATATATATATATATATATATATATATTTATATATATATATAATTATATATATATATATATATATATATATTGAAAATCAAACATTTTCCTCTTCATGGCAGACAGAATCCTTGAATGTCGTTTGGGTATTAAAGAAGAGGCCTCACTGAGTATGGTACTGCTGAATTTTGAGTTCATGCATTTCTTTACCTAAGTCCTTTCTGTGTCAGGATAGAGGTGGAAGAGACCTTTTATTATATTCCAATAAAACAAAAAGCACAAGTCCAAGCTATTTTGGAACATTTTTTGGTAAGGTTAATCAAAAAGATATAAAAATTTCCGAAATAACCAATAGATCAGATATGAAGTAAGAAAAAAAGTTAACCCTATCAAAAATTCTAGACTATCCAGTGAAGAAAATGTGTTTTTATTTCTCTTCTAGAGCATTCATGCTCATTCTTTCCTCTGGTTTTCCCATCTACAGTTAGAGATACTCTAACATTATCAAGAATTATTGCAGATACAGTTATTCTTTTTAAAATGTTTATATGATGTTGAGTCATTCTATTATTTTTAGAAAATACGAGCATAATATTGCTATTAAATTAGTAGATAAATTCCGTCTGTCAGCATTTTAATACACGGAATTTTAAGAAGTACTAGAATGAAGTGGCTACTTTGGAACTAAAATTGTTGACTGTAAATGTACTAAGGAAACATAGTTTCTGTTCAACCAAAAGATACTAATCAATGTCGTAAATGTGTATAATTATTTGCACTTTTCAACCACATACTACTAAGACAACCTCAGAACTCTAATATATGAAAATTTATAAGCTAAAAAAGTATAATGCTACATAGACTTTATCCCCATAACTTTTGTGTAATTGAAACATTCTAGAGAAGTTTTTCTTTTATCTTTATGGCTTTTAAAAAACACATAAATCATCTCTCAAACCTTGATTTAAAATACTTGATGCTGTCTTATATATAGGAGCACCTACGTGTTCATTATCCATAGACTTGGAGGAAAGTTTTTCTAGGCCATGTATATGATATAAGTGTGTGGTGGGTTCTTTTTCTCCATTAATGGGTGGTATCTATGACTAATCACATTTTCTGCCTTATAGGCCTGCCTCGTCCCCCCAGCTTTCACACGATGATACTCATTCACGCATTGAACATTATGCTAGCAGGTATGAGACTAGTTGAATGCCAGGCAAATATTGATTGAAATAACTAACCAAGGAAAGCTAACCTATAATAATTTTAAACAAATATTTTCTTTCTTCGTCAGTCCTTTTGACTTCTACTAATCAACTTGCCCCTTAACGTGCATGCCATTCTACTGCATGTAGGTTCGGAACACCAAAAACAGCATGGGTCCAGAACATTTTTATTTAACCCTGGCCTTTTAACATTTCCAGTAGCTTTGTTGCATTTTATATTCTGAACACGTTTTCTAATTTAGCTTAAAAGCCTTCTAACCTCATTAGAATACTACTAGATTAGATATTAATCTGTGGAGAAATAATAATGTGTTACCTAAACAATGTGAAAGCACTGGCCTTTCATTTGTGTTTCATTTAGATGATGTACTTCAAGAAGATAACTTTCTAAACGCTTGGACCTTTCTGTACCACCTTCTTCATATTTGAGATAACTTTTATACCTAAACACTGAGCTACTATTCATATCTTTTGCTTATTAAATAACTCTGTTCAACTTGTTCTGGTTGTCGAAGACTTTATTATTAAGTGGTGGCAAAACACGTAATATGCTTACTGTGAGTTCATTCTTTATCAACATCCCGACTACTGGACATGCTCATCAGTTGTGGCAAGCATTAACTAGCTCTATACGTCTATCATTAGTGGAAGACATTGATTGTCTTAAAAGACAAGGGCTAGTGTAAGGTGTGGATTTGCTCATAGGAAAGATTTTCTTCTAAAAACAAAGACCTGTTCTTAGTGAAAGGAAGATTGACCTGGGGGAGGAGGAAATCCCAAATAAAACAGCAACAAAATAGACCTTCCCATCATTTTTACATTAAAAATGCAAAACTACTAACTAGCTACTTCAACTGCTTGAAACAACACGCACATCCTTTAATTTGAAGGATTTCTTTCTCCACTTGTCATGAGTTATTCTTTAGTTTTCAGCAATGTTCACTTAGGTCTTGAATAGATTCTAAGAAGTCACATAAGTTTTAATGAGCTTTTACGTTTTTTATCAGGCTAGCAGAAATGGAAAACAGCAATGGATCTTATCTAAATGATAGCATCTCTCCTAATGAGAGCATGTAAGTATCCCATCTCTTTTTACAAAATGTTCCTGATGATGAAATTGCTTTGAGGGACTTAGAGGTAGGATAGTACAGGACATAGGAATTAGCATCATATTCGTTTAGTCTTTCAAAGAGCCATTCATTGACTTTTTTCTTTAATTCTTTACATCCTGGCACAGAATGAGCTCATAAAAAAAAAGCTTTTGCCCTATTTACATTTATTTAATATCATAGGATTACAAATTGCTAAGCCTAAACACTTAATATCACTTCGAGCACACTGGAATAAAGAATAAGATGATAGTTTAAAGTAATAACTAAGTAGAATTTCCTCTACTCATGGGAAGTGGAAATAAGATCTTGATGTAGAATTGCTGTTCCCATATACTGTTAGGTTGGCAATTTTCTTCATTGGATTGCTGTGGTTTAGCATTATTACAAGGAACATATAGTATGGCAGACTTGTGAAGGGTTCCCAGATGAGGGAAGACAAATGCAGGTCTCAGTTTGTCAGTGGGGAGATAATTCAGCTTGCTCAGACTGTAAAAGGGAGATATATTACTTTATAAATGGCTAAGAACCTACTTGGCCCTAAAACAGATGCATTATCAACAAGTTAGGGCAGTGCTCATAAAACACAGAGCAGCATTACCATGACCCACGTAGATGCTGACTAGGTAGGGAGAGGAGTGAGTGTATGGAGGAAATAGAGGATCCACTAACTGAATAAATAACATAGAGAATAGAAATGTGCAGTGATGCTTTTAGTTAGATAAGACATGGTAAGATAAGGCTTCACTCTTATTGTGGAGAATAGATGAATGGAAGCATGGGAAAGCTAACCTATGTAGTTTAAGTGGGAATCCAGAGTCTTTGCTCAGGTTAGAAAAGGGCCTTCATAAGGATTAAACCAAAGGAAATTGTATAAAAATAGAATTTCTACATAATTATCTAATACCATATCACTAGTGTATAGAGATCAGTGTAATGAGAGAGAACTCAACATTCAGCCATTTATTTCAAACAAATATACTTTTCCAATTAAAGCTGTGATGCCATAATGTGATCTTCCATCAGGAAGTGAGTAGCTAAAAAACCAACTCAATATATAGGTTTGAATAATTTGCTGCTTTGGCTCCCTCATTTTGATATTAGATGTTCTAACACTTTCACATTAATTCAGATTATAGCTATATGACAGTCTCTGGCAAACATGGACTACCAAAGAGAATAGTAAGGAAAGCTTAATTACAGTTATAGGTTACAGTTAAATATGGGAAGCCCTAGAAATAAAATTTTAGAACATGAGGAAGGGAATAATAAATTAAGCATTTAATGAAGCCTGGATTGTTTTATTTTACAACAAAATTCAGCTTTAGCTCATTCTGAGGACATGCAATCCATTTTACTCTGTTGTGTGACAAAATAATCATATTATTTAGGAGCAGTTTTGATGGATCAGCTGATTTTATTTAAGTTATTTTAAGGTCAGTAATAATGGTAATAGTCATTATTATCATTATTTTTGTGATGATATGATCTCTGGGCCTTATGCATGCTAGGCAAGTACTCACCCACTGAGATGTATCCCAGCCCTCCAATAATTAGTTAATTTATCATATCTCTACCACTTATCTGGTTTCATGGGCCAAAAATAGAAATCTTGAGGACATTTTTCTAAAGACCTGATACTTTAAAACTGAAGATTTGGTGGTTAGGGCATGCTAGGCATAAAGGCACATACCAGTAATCCCAGCCCTCAGGAGGCCGAGGTAGAAAGAAGTCTGTGAGTTTGATGCCAGCCTGGGCTACACAGAAATCTTCTCTTGAAAAACAAAATTAAATCAGATAGACATTGGAAGTAAGAGAAGACAAGGAACAGGACAGGAGCTTTCCATAGAGGACCTCTGAAAGACTCTACCCACTAGGGTATTGAAGGAGATACTAAGACTCATAGCCAAACTTTGGGCAGACTTCCAGAAAATGTATGGAAGCAGAGGGGAAAAGAAAGACTTGGAGAGGACAGGAACTCCACAAGGAGAACAACAGAGCCAAAATACCTGACCCACACAGCCCTTCAGAGACCGATACTCCAACTAAGTAACATGTGGAGAAGACCTAGAATTTGTGTTCAAAGGAAACCCATAGGTAGCTCAATTTCCAAGTGGGTGCCCTCGTAATGAGAACATAGCTGTCTCTGACATGAACTCAGTGGTTTGCTCTTTGCTTACCTCCCCCTGGGGGCTGCAACCTTGTCAGGCCACAGAGGAAGATGATGTAGCCAGCCTTGATGAGATCTGATAGGTTAAGGTCAGATAGAAGGGTAGGGGGTCCTTCCCTATCAGGAGACTATGGAATGGAATAGAGGGAGAAGAGGGAGAGTGGGTGGGAATCGAGGAGATGAATGAGGGGCGTGCAGCTGGGATAAAAAGTGAATAAATTTTAATAAATAAATATATAAATAAAATTAAATTTAAAAATAAGTATGCAAAAGGGAGTAGGCAAGCATCATCTGAATGAAATGTAACCAGAAGCAAAGAACTTTACTCTCATTAAGAAGAAAACGAAGTTCCTGTAACTTGGAGGTAAAGTGGAGTTTTTGAAAATGTAGAGTACTTCATTCTAAAATTAATTTCTCCTCAGTGTTACTAGAAAGTTTCTACTTTCCAGGAGACTGCAGCTGCCTCCCAGAATTTGCCAGTCTCTCCCCTCCCCCAAGTAAATAATGCTTTAGATTTAGTGAGGAATGAGTTTTTCTTGTCTTCTTTTAGTCAGGCAACTTAATGTCTTGACATACACCCCTGCAATTTTTTGTGTTTTTATCTACACAGTAATCAAAACAACCATTTATCCAAAGGTTAATTATTGTTATCATCCCACCTCTGAGACCTATAGGTTAAAATTAGCTGGCTGAAGCAGCACTTTCCGATTCTTGCCGTGCACTTAAGATAATATTTACTGTTTTACAAACTACATAGCCTTCCTTCCTGCCCAATCAGTATAAATAGCATGGCTAATGAACAGAATATCTTGACAGGCTTAGTAGCAAAAGCATTAAATGCACATTGTTATATTTTTAATATTTATTAGTTAATAACAGGCTAACCTGTTAATATATACTTCCAATATTTCTGTAATTCTACCTTTCACCTATCTGTTAAAATAGGCCAGTGAGTTTCATGTGGATTTTTGACAATGAAACACTTTAAATTGTCCATCAATTGAATAGTAGACCACAACTCAAAAATTACCTAAATGTCTTTAGAATAGGGGAACAAAAGGTCTGACTAATTGTTGAGAGCAATGAAACGTTTCTGTTTTCAAATACACACCTGAGTCCCTGACCCAAAAATTAAATAAAAGGGGTGGAAAAACCAAAACCTTTGATTTTATTTTCCAGAGATGATGAACATTTGTTAATCCAGCATTACTGCCAAAGTTTGAACCAGGACTCCCCCATGAGCCAGCCTCGTAGTCCTGCCCAGATCTTGATTTCCTTAGAGAGTGAGGAAAGAGGGGAGCTAGAGAGAATCCTAGCAGATCTTGAGGAAGAAAACAGGTGAGTTTTCTTTGTAGCTTTGTCATTGGTAAGCAGAGTGCATAAGCTTGCACACAGAGAAAAGTGTCAGGAGTCTTTATTTAGTCATTTGATGTCTAACTGTTTGCTAAAATAATCTGTTTAGCTCCTTTTGCAGATTCACTTTTGTTTTGTCTGAAAGAAGAAACTGAGTGCCATATAGCATGATTAAAAACTCCTATTTTAGTTGTAAAGGGATTAATGCTAGTGGGGGTATTGGGTTTGTTGCATGTGTTTGATAGGTTTTGATATATATGTATTTGAGAATAGAATTTAAGAAAAAAGGCAAGTAATTTCAATTATGGTTATATAAATTTTACATGTGTTTGAAAATATTACCACAAACATTTTAAAGAAATAGATTCACTGACTTGATCATTTTTGGGAACAATACTTCCTCTTATTTTTCATCATCGAAAACATAAGTTAGTACTTTTGTTCATTTTCATAGTAGATTAGGTAGACAATTCAAGTTGTTAGTTTTCACCTATAAAAGAAAAGTTCAATGTGAAAACATCAGAAATGGAAAAGCAAAAAAAAAAAAAAAATCATCATGGCTACAGAGCAGAAAAAAATTGCAAGAATCTGTATTATTGTGTGGTGTCAGAATAACACAAATCATTGTTCTTTTCCTTTTGTATTACATTTACTATGTAGCAGGTACCTTGGCTAGGGAACTTTTCCACGCAATCACCTGTAATAATAGGTTAGCCTTCTACAGACAGTGACAGGCAAGTCTTTAAAGACCAGACTGTTCAAATCTGTTTCTCTTAAGTACTTTTGGTTAGCCCAAGGCAGCAAGACCTCTTAATCTAGAAAACACACTGTTTGGGGACCACTTCCCTGAGGGAGAATGTCACCTCAGCATAAAATGGCAGACTGTCATTCATCTCATACCTTCTGCTGCCATTACTAGCCTTGCAGCTCTTAGTACCCATAACCTTTGGCCCTAGCTCTTTATCAAGTTGGCTTCCCATTAGCTCCTTGCCCATTTTCCCAACAAATCTTTGGCTCTGACTGATTAGTTGTATATCTTTCCAGAACCAAGACCTATCACGACATTCTTACTTTATCGGATTTCTGAATCTTGAAAGAACACCCAACTTCGATGCAGGACATTCAAATCTTCCACCGTTTTCTCTTAACTTGTTTTTATCAACTTCATCTTCTGTACTGATCATGCTGTTGTACCCAGTATTTTTATCTTGTTTTCATCTACTTTCTCGGTCACATTCAAGCTTGCTCTTAGGCTATATCACTTTAGTCTTTGCTCAGAGAAGTCCTTGACAGTTTGCCCCTTTATCCTTTATCCTTTATTGTCTGTACCTCCTTCAAATGCATTGTGCCCATTGCATGATCAACATCTTATTTCTATAGTTCTACCTACCACAATTATAATGTTTCACTACTCAAGAAGTGTTTGGTTAAATATATGTATGTATATATGTGTGTACATGTATATATACATATATGTCATGTTTAAATAGTATAAACATGAGAATATAGCAAGATCACATAATGACCTCCAAAGATATAATACTGTACATTTGTAGAGAGAAGATTAATAACTTTGTTTTCTTAGCTGTATTTGTAAAAGTAAGGGAGGTCCCCTTCTTCCTTCTGATCTTAGTCTATCAGATTTCATCAAGAGTGGCTGAATTGTCATCTTCTGTGACCTGGTAAAGATGCTCCCCCCTCAGGGGGAGGTGATCAAAGTGCAGGCCAATCAGTTCATATCAAGGCAGTCCCTCTTCCCATTACTATGGAACCCACTTGGACACTGAACTGACATGGGCTACATCTGTGCAGGGGTTCTAGGTTATCTCCATGCATGGTACTTGGTTGGAGTATGAGTCTCTGGAGAAAACCCTGTGTTCAAATTTTCTGGTTCTGCTGCTCTCCTTGTGGAGTTTCTGTCCTCTCTAGATCTTACTATTTCCCTCTTCTTTCATAAGATTCCATGCACTCTGCCCAACAGTTGGCCATAAGTCTCAGCATCTGCTTTGACAGTCTGCAGGGCAGAGCCTTTCAGAGGCCCTCTGTGGCAGGTTCCTAACTTGTTTCTTGTTTTCTTCGTCTTCTGATGTCCATCCTCTTTTCCTTTCAGGATGGGGATTGAGCATTTTAGTCAGGAGGGGCAGGTGTGAAGAAGGGGGAGGGAAGGTGGAAGGGGTGGGGGGAAGGGTTTATGGGAGGATACAGAGTGAATAAAGTGTAATTAATAAAAGTTAAAGAAAAAAATAAAAAAAAGAACATTCAAGAAGCAGGGCAAAGATATGGGAGGAACAACTGTGACAATATGAAATATTATGACTTGTGAAATATTTGTATTACCATTTCACTTGTTAAATTTCAGGGAGGTGGTTGTGGTTTTTTTGTTTGTTTGTTTTGTTTTTTGTTTCCTTTTTATAATGGCTCAAATATCCTAGTATGAGAAAAATAACATGGAAAATTATTCATTTCATTTTCTTCTTTGAGAAATGAATGATCCATTTTACTAAACAAAAAAAGTATAAATGTAAACCACTTTTTTTTAACCTCTTCTATTTTATTGGGAGCTGTCACTGATAATTAATAATAACAATTTATGGCCATTCATATTAAATTTTTATCAAAGTCACATGGGAGGAAAACATTGGGATTTTTTTTTATAAATACAATTTATTGTTGCTGAAGAGTAAGTCGAATTTTAGCATATGAACAATACTGTTGTTTAATAAACCTTTTAGCTCATTAGTTAGGACCCATATCTTGTTGGTGTGTTTGAACATGTTTCCTCAATGCCATGGTAACCAAGTCAGTGAGTTTTGGGAAAGAATACTGATAACACTGATTTATGTATCATCTTATCATTTTTAGTGCACTGTTTCTGGTACTGGGGACTGAATCCATGACCTCATGTATGCTAAGAACCCCACTCTACCACTGAGAAACACTGCCAGCTTCTTATCTTGAAAGCACTTTAATATATTTTAGATCATTTAATCTTTCTAAAAGCTGTACAAAGAACTACTCATCACCTTTCTTTAGATGAGAAAGCACAGGCTGAGAGAAGTTCAAATACCTTGCCCCAGATTTCACAGCCAGCAAGTGGTAGACATAAATTCATACTGGGTTTATTTTTTCACATTGAAAATAGCCAACTCTACCTTGGATCAAAGAAAAGAGTCATTCTGTGTATGTCGTCTACATAGAAATATGGTTTATTCCTCAGAATATGCCTTACCTTGAGAGAATGTTTGCAAAGAACAAATGACCCGTAATAAACCAATTCAACCACTTTACCTTGAAATATATCCAGGATTGTCACCGAAAATGGGATGCTTTGTTCTCTGAAAGAAAGGTTGTATAGTAGGGATACTAAGTGCTCCAAAAGAAGGCCTTTGTCATTATGTGAATCTTTCTGGGGGTTATCTTCAAAATGTCACAAGAAGCCTTTTCTTTCTTCTTCTACTTAGCTCTATTTTCACCTCCTACTGAAATCCTGAAGAAATGTCTCTCCAGAGCCCCCTCCTGGGAACAGCCTGCCCCTGCCTCATTTACCTTCTGTCCTCTGTTGTCTTAGAGCTTGTATGAGAGATTCAGGACCATACTGCTTCTATGTCCTTTGAATTGGGTATTGCTTTAAAAGACTTTAATTTATCATTTCCTTCCCTAAGAAAACCTGAGAAATCACTAGATGCCTTTTCTGTGTGCCTGCCAGCTTGGATATTTCCCAAGATAGAAGTAGGCTACAAAAATGGCAAGTATGAGCCAACTTGTAGAGAAAATGGGGAAGGATATTTAAAAGGAAGATTGTATTAAATGCTTTGGATGTAGACTTTTAATAGATCTAAATATCTGTAGATTTAGCACATATTCATGGATATTTTATGTCCTTATCCTAGAAATGTGAATTATGCCAAATTACAGTTAGCAAAGGAGAGTCCCAATTCCTGACTATATATGTTGTAAAATTCTATTAATTATTCTTATTCACAGCTTTCTTGGCCCAAAGCCTTGGGAAAAAACAAGGTGGTTATTCTAGACATGTCTTGGTGATATCTTTTCTCTGCCATTAAAATTCTTTTTGTCCCATTCTTTATACATAACATTCAGTAAATATTTGTTGAATAACTTAATGAATAAATGAATTGATCTGGGTCCAAATAGATTTGGTTTTAAAATGCATGTGGTTTTAAAAACAAATATTTAACAAATGTAATTCCATTGGGGAAAACATTAAATTGAGCTTTTATTATTTTTTTTTCTGTTAACCTTTCAAAATATTAGCCCTGCCTTGATTAGTACCAAGTATTGCTTTGTCATAAACTTAGAATTAATATATATATATATATATATATATATATATATATATATATATATATA